CTGCTGCTGCTGCTGCTGCCTGCTGCTGCTGCGATGCTGCTGCTGCTGCTGCTACTACCTAGTACTACTGTTACTCACTACTACTACTACTACTACTACTACAACTACTACTACTACTACTACTACTGCTACTACTACTACTACTACTACTACTACTACTACTACTGCCTACTACTACCTACTACTACCTACTACTACCTACTACTACCTACTACTACCTACTACTACCTACTACTACCTACTACTACCTACTACTACCTACTACTACCTACTACTACCTACTACTACCTACTACCACCTAGTACGACCTAGTACGACCTACTACTACTACTACTACTACTACTACTACTACTACTACTACTACTACTACTACTACTACTACTACTACTACTACTACTACTACTACTACTACTACTACTACTACTACTACTACTACTACTACTACTACTACTACTACTACTACTACTACTACTACTACTACTACTACTACTACTACTACTACTACTACTACTACTACTACTACTACTACTACTACTACTACTACTACTACTACTACTACTACTACTACTACACTACTACTACTACCACTACTACTACTACTACTACTACTACTACTACTACTACTACTACTACTACTACTACTATTTCTAGTACTACTAGTACTAATACTACTAATAATAATTACCCTGCGACGTACCCAACCCACGTGCATCAAATGGCAAGAGGAGTATGCCAACATTAGCAGGAACAACGACAGTGTAGACGCGGCGATTTGCTGTGCAAGCTACATGGGATGCGCATGCGTTGCACGATTCACAGGACGACGATCGAAAGAACGAGGCTTGAGGCCCCAGGATCGAAGAAGAACGGGTACGGGAACGAGGGGTAGGAGAGGGATGGAATGGAGGGCGGGGGGGGCGAAAGGCCATCGCGGAAGCAGCAGCATGCATGGAGAAGGTGAGGCGGGGAATAGGACGACGATGAAAGTGGCGGGAGGAGACAGAAGACTGCCGCGTTTTTCAAGTGCGAGCTAAACCCGCAGCGCTGCCTGCGCCATGTCGTCGCAGAGTTCCACATGATAAAACTTGTTTAGTGTGCAAGAAACGAGCGAGGCGTAGCTCGCCCGCTAGCTTCTCCGCCTCCTTCCCGCACATTTCAGCGCGGGAGCTGAACGCTCGCAGGCGCGCCGCCAGGTCTGCGGGGGGCCCGCGGGAAAGAAACTCAAGGCCGGGGTCGCGCACCATCGATCGGTTGTCCATCGTCCAAAGTTGCTGGGCCTGGTTTCCGTTGATCATCGGAAGCGTCGGCAATTACGCCTCGGCCCCGCGCGCTGCTAAGACCGCGGAGCAGGCGCCTTTCTTCAGCCACCAGTACGGCGCTGCAGGCCGACAGTATGCGTGAATATATTTGTTAGAGGGCCCGATGGGCAACCTCGAAGGACGGTAGCGATGGCACGAACCACAGAGCAAGGGCACGCGAGCATTGCTCGTGGTCAGAATCTGAGTCCCCGTGGTGCCTCACTCCGCTGGCCACCCACCAGCAGCCCTCGAAAGTGGCGACAGTTTCACAGATCGCAGCCGCCCAGGGGTGGCGAGGTCAAATCTGAGTCCCCGTGGTGCCTCACTCCGCTGGACCCACCAGCAGCCTCGAAAGTGGCGACAGCTTCACACAGGGATGGCGAGGTCTAATCTGAGTCCCCGTGGTGCCTCACTCCGCTGGACCCACCAGCAGCCCTTGAAAGTGGCGACAGTTTCACAGATC